AATAATAATATAGAACAAATTAAATTATATAACAGATCACTCAATAAGTTCGTAGGATGACCAATAAAACAACAACTTTTGGGCTTGTATTCATGAACATAGTCTCTTTCAAGAGTGATACATTCATAGCAACGCTTTTCTAACATTTCGATACCTTTCTTGTAGAACGATTTATCTTTGGCCTCAAAATACGGCTTTCACACTTTGATGTCTACTCAGTTGTCCACCGATTTGACTATTGAGTGTAGTGATCCAGGTTTCACCCATTTCTACATACCGCAATGAAAAAATCTTTTTATTTCGCTTAACAGCTTCAAACAGCGCTCATCAACAGCGAATCATCAACTCGTTGTTGTTTTTGGTCCACTTTGAGCTTGAACGCGGTTCGAACAAAGCTTTATCATAATCAAATGTTCATGCAAAATTAATTTACGATCGGCCAAAACCATTTGGGCGATCAGAGAGTTCACCATCATTTGTGTCTGTAAAACCGAGTTTAAAATCAGCAAACCACGTCTCTACCATTTGTCTCGACGGTGAAGAGTCCCCATAACAGTTATTGCTTTGCTTCAACGGTATTTTTACCCATCCAAAAAGTAATGTTTATCTACACACGAAATACAGATTTTTCCATTGTTTTGAAAATTACAAAAGTAGCGTCACTAAAACCAATGTAACTTTTGAACTAAACGTCAGATTGTTAGGAAATTTTAACTGGCGTCGTCTGAAGGTTGGTACTTCCTAAAAATCATATGGATTTTTCGATAGAGGCTCCATGTATACGTCATAATACGAACTTATTGAGTGAGGTGTTATATATAAAAAAAACAACTTTAATTCTGTATTTCTCAACCTTTTTGTCGCGTAATGCCACATATTTATTTATAGTTGTACTGCGACACATAAGAGAAACGCTTGTCTACATTTTCAATGGAAATATGTCAAAATTCTATTATGAAAACCCTCTACTTATCCAAATTACATATCTTAACTATCCATCTAACTAATATAATACATCATTATAAAAATTACTCTAATCAGGGCTGCTTGTAGACTACAAAGAATAATGCATTCATCTTTCCATGAAACTATACGGGTGGGAGAGCCTATACTCTATAATGCGCACATTTATTACAGTCAAAACTTTAAATCGTGTACAGTGTTATATGGAAACCACGTTATGAAAAACTCACCGCTTTAACTCTTCGAGGGCACAATTATAATTTTCTAGGAAATGTCCAGGAATTATCCTTTAATCTGGTTGTTATGTATGAATCTTGATACCATCCGATGTTGATTTAGTTGACGTAGTTGTTTGATTCAATTGTTGAGTCTAGAAATTTAGGAATTTTTGTCTCTTCAAAGAGTTAAGTGAAATACAAGAGTAGAGTATAAATCAAGTAGATTTGTTCTGCGTTATGAGAAAACTGCATTCTCAGAGTTCCGCATTGTAATGAATACGGTTAGTTTTATATATAATCATGTAAAATTATATAAATGGTATTGACATTAAACGGACATGGACAGATGCAGAACGCGTTTGTTTTTTTTTATTTCTGGCACAATCGTTACAAAAAAAAACGCGTTGGTATATTTGAATATTATGTTGATGTTATGTGATTTTTAAAACTTATTTTAAATATCATCTATAATCTAGAAATCATCTAGAATGTTTAAAATTAAAATAAATTTCCTGGTTTGCGAGAAATCTCGGGATTTTACCAACTTTCAGTACCGATTCCTGAGATTAGAAAAAAAAAACAAATCAATTAAAATAGTAACTTTTGTGGGAAACTTTTGTTCCTCGAAAAATGAGTTCTTTATAGGAGAATAAATTTTAATTTATTTAATTTTTTTGCTAGAAATAAACTAAAAATAAATAAACAATTAATTATTTATTTAAAACTAAAATGAAATTTGCAAAGAAGGAAATGATTTTTTCTTTGTTCCGCAATAAGTAACAATGTATAATCGAAATTGCATTCTGCATAATGCAGAATATGCATATTAGAGCTAACTTGTTTCGTTTTTTTTTGTTTTCTATAGGAACGGAGGATGTCCGAAGTTAAATGGCAAAGTACAAAGGAATACTTGCAGAACAAAACAAAAAAAAACTGGATGAATTGCACAACACTTTTGTTCTTGTTGCCCCAAGTTAGTGGAACAAATTTGGTGCTAGCCGGCTAAATGCGTTTGCATCACAAAAACATTTAGTCGACACGACGAAAGACTTGTTCCTTCTTTTTTTCTTTCTTCTTCGATTCATTTCCGTTACGTTTCACCAACAAACAGACTGTTGCAACAAAGGAACACGTTTCTTTAATTGACGAGGCGAGAGTATAAAATGCTGTTTACGTTTTCAATTACTAAATTCGTATTTTTCATTTTTAGTAATTTCATAATAAGATTGAATATGAAACAACAATTAATTAAATCCCACCACATATATTTAGTTCATTCAAATAGTTTTATAGATTTAATATTTTTGAAGATATATTTAAATGCTTTTCTTGTCTAACAAAATGTGTTTTACTGTTTCTTTTCATATATTTGATATAATTGAACTTTAATCTAAATTGTCGAAATATATTTTATTTTGAAATATATTTTTATTTTTGAACAAAGAATTATGAAGCTTCCTACACATTATGTCTGATAAGTTTTATAATCCAATACGTCTTATAGTCTCATGAGTATTATTATCCAATATGTCTAATAGTCTGATGAGTCTTATAATCCAATAAGTCTTATAGTCTGATTTGCTTATAATCAATATGTGTAATAAAACTTCTAATTCAATACGTCAACAGACTTTAGTTGTGTCTTATAATCTAGTTGTATTCATTCTGAGTACACACTACTAATAAATTGCGTGATAGTAGGGTTGACAGCTATTACGTTATTACTATTGATATCGGCTACTGTTTTTCATAATTGATTCATCCACTGTTTCCTTTTGAAAGTTTTCATGAATTCTCCTTTTCGTAAAATACGATCAAACACCAATGATCCTTCTTAGGTCCAGACAGAGTAAACCTTATGCGTTAATGATCATCAGGAATTTTCAAGGCCTTTGAGGCCAAGTATTTTGAGGCCTCGTGCATAAATACGAAATACACCCAACCCAATGTATGAATGGGGTAAGTTAAAAATGAAATGCGAGAGTGGAGAGAAAAAGAAAATTTGATTTTGGAGCCTCATCTAACACTGTTTGGGACGTCTCTGAATGCCATTGCGTAATAGAAACGTTGACTGTAATTTTGTTCACCTTTTTAACTATTTTTATATTAATAATTATAGTATTGTAATTATAGTTGTGACTGTATTTCAATGTTTCTCGTGAGAATAATTATTATTTTTTGTTTTCTTATTATTGTTGTTATGAATGAAAGTTTTTATTTTTTTTGACTGTTGCAATAAGTCATTGTCGAAACACGCTTTATCGCATTTAGTTTGATTAACAACTGGGGAATTTTCCATTTTTTTTTACTGTACTTTTTATTAATTAGAAGACAATTTTTAATATCTAATTTTAAAAGAATTAATAAATACTTAATATATATTCATACCTCAGTTAATGTGATAACGAAACTTCGATGTAACGAAACCCGCAATTATCCGAAAACATTGATAGTTAATGGTAAGAAGTTATTAAGAAATGGTTATATCCACAACTTTTTTTTGTAGAATAGAGACATTTCTAATATATTACTTGTTCATTGCATTATGATCACTACTTTGAACTACTAAGAACTGAGAGCCGAAAATTATCATAAAAAAAAAAACAAAAAATTGTGGTTTCCAAAGTATCAATGAAGAGGATGTTAAAAATTTGTTGAATTAAGAAGATGATGGTTTTTCACTTTAAGATTTAGTAAACATGATTAAAGAAGTTTAATAATAAAACAAATGTTAACAATCATAGATTTAAATTGTTCTTAGTGAAAATTATCTTGATTTAGAAAGAATGATCAGTATTAAGAGCAACAACTCTGTATAGGCAATTGATTAATGAAAGAGGAAAACAGAATATTTTGACTATAGTATACTGGGAAACCGGAAAGTAATGTCGTTTTTTACATTAAAATCAAACATATAAATTTTTAACTTGATTTTATTTTCAATCAATCAATCAAATCTATTAGTTTTTGAGCAAAACATCTGGAGATAGCATTTTGGATATCATCCATTTATTTAATCGATCCAATTATTCACAGTAAAAGTCTGCATTTACAGTTTGTCCATGTTTGAACATTTCAAAATGAATGATTCCGTAAATACTCCACCAAACACACAAAAGCGTTTTAGTGATCAAGCGATCAAAAAACGCTTCTGTATTTTGTCGTTGTAGCAATAAGTTCGGACAGATTATAACATACTTTACCAATCTGCTATAAATGTTCTTATTATTGGTCTTCATGATCGATATGAGTTGGAAAAATCAAAATTAATGAATCAACTTACAAAACCACCTTTGAAATTTACGTACGTTTAATGGACTTATATAAATATCGCAAAAGTTTTTGATAGCAACTGTTGCGTTACTACCCTTGTGAAACTCAATACGCTTACAATGTCCTCTTCTTGTATTCGAAATGAAATTTCACCCAAAAATATAAAAAAAAAATAGGATTTACAAGTAAACAAATCATTTTAATCTTTAAATGTCTTTGGCACGCCAGTGAGCTTATAAATGATAAACAAATATAGACATGCTAAAAAACGACATTACTTTCCGGTTTCTTCGTTTTCAGAGGTAAATATATTAGGATTTACCTCTGAAAACGAAGATTTTATTAACGAGGAAATTTCGTGGAACAAATCATATTTGTTAATTTTTAAATAGGAAAAAAAACATAGAGCAAATAATCACTGATACGGTTAATATTTGAAGAGAACAAAATGTACCGATAACACATGTCGCAGTTGCGAGGTTCGTTCCACCTGTAGGTAGGGGAAATGTGTTGTTGCGTCGAACAGGTGTTTTCGTAATTTCAGTTCTATTTTACCGCTCAAATGTGACGGTTCAAATTATTTTTTGCCACGCACAATCTCTCTCTGTCCCTACGAATTTTTCGAAATAAAACTGTAATTGCAATCATATATATTTATATATATACTTATATTTCCATATTATTTATCTGGAAGAGGAAAAGGATGTGCGATCATCTATTGTTTCGGTCGTAGCTTTGTCGCTTTATTGTTCGGCGGAACGGACGTTGTTTGGGTTTAACAACATTATCCACAGTTTAGATACGATTCAGACGCGTTCGTTCGAGGAGAGTTGTGCGTTCTCGACGTTTTTTGAAGGCACACATAATTTTATTCGCATTCAATTTGAACGCAACGCAATTAGAGGCTATTAAAGAAGTGCATAGATAATTACCAGGAGGAAATAAATCGAAGACGTTGTAACAATGGAAGATATCACGGATGCCCCGAAGATCACCGCAAACGATTTGCCGATGGCTTTCAAAGTCAAGTACTTGGGTACGTACAATCATTGCAACAGAATTCTTTCAATTAACGGGAATCAATTTGTAAATGTCAGATTGTATTTAATTGCAGCAATTGAAACATTTCACATAAAATATTCACGTAAATATGCGATAAAACCAACAATATGTACAACGTACTATAAAATATCGACAATTTTTAATAAATTTATAAAAAAATTTAAGGGTACGTAAATTTAGCAAATATTATCATTTTCCAATTAAATTATTTCTTGTTTTATTTTATTTTTCTTCAAAATATTAATATGTAGTAGAAAAAATTAAGTCGATTATTTTCATAATACGGTCATCAACAATATCCGGCACTGTTTGAAACCGGATTAATTAAGGTGTACAAAAAGAGACTTGACTCATTTTTGAGAACTTAGTTTGTTTTTTAATGTTCAAATCGTACTATAATGAATCCGCACTGATTGAAGCCGTTTTAAACGAGGTATTGTTGTGCTTGGTTAGGTTCTTTCGTTATTACAGCAATAATTTAAATAAGCAATTGTATGATTCATACATAATATGATTCATATGGCTACAATAATTACGATAAAAGTTGTATTAAACTAGCAGAATTTACATAATAAATAAACAAAGATAATAATTTTGTCCGATTTCGACATTTTTAATACATTTTTTAATATTTATAGAGAAAATAAAGTCATATTTTTTTAATTAATTAATTTTTAAATCTCAGATTACACTTAATTGCAGTAATTGCTACATTCATATGAAGTATGATGATTCATGTACTTCTGAAAACTGGCAACAAAAGTTTTTGTTACTCTTGTTACTTTTTTTGCTATCTACGTTTTAATATTTAGTAAAACTATTCTAAAGTGATCTTTAATATAAATTATACAAAGCGTTAGTCGTCAAATAAAATCAGATGATCAAATGATTACATTTAAATTATGGATTAAGTTAATTTTAAATTTTTCGTATGTATTAATAGTTATAACAAAATAAATATAGTAACGAAACTGTTGCATAAGAAAAATAAAGAATGAATCATAATTAATGGAATGTAGATTATACAATGAGATTTAAATAAAAAGAAGCTGTGTAATTTTGATATATGTTTAACAATAACAAATCTTGAAATATAAAATACTCATATCTTAAAACTAGTTCCGTTCCGAAAGGGTTGTTCGTAAGTCGAATTTGTTCGTAAACCGGGAGAATTTTAAAAATTTCAAAATGTACTTATCCTACCACACTTTATCATGGAAAGAAATTATCATTTTTTGTTTGAACAGTTAATTTTTTTATCACTATATATCTCCTTGTAACAAGTTGAGTTTTTATAATTTTGTTTGTAAGTCCGGGAGTTCGTAAGTCGGGGGATACCTGTACTGTATTCTCATACACCTGTCATCAACTACCTGACAGGTGTACTAGAACTAGGACATTCTTAATGAGGCATTCCTAGAACCGAAACTCTAAAGTCTAGACCATGTTATCAATTTTTGAATTGGTCTTTAGGATTTTTCAATTGTATTGTGCTCCAAATTCAAATTGGTTCGGGCATAATGAAACCTTACCACAATATTTATAAACACTAAAGAAAATTTCACACAAATTTAGGAAATGTTCTACCTGTTTCCTGAAAAGTGAAATCTCCAATTTGTGTTAAAATTTCAGTTTGTAGAAAATTTGAGATTTATACAAACTTATACAAACTACTATAAAGTAGCATAAGTTTGATATTAAGTAAAATTTAGTGATAAAATTTTATTAAAAAAAATAAACAAAAATTTAAAACTGTAGTCATGGATTGAATACAATAAATAAAACACTGAAGAAAATTTCATACAAATTTAGAAAATCTACCTGAAAAAAAAATCTCCGATTTGTGATAAAATTTAAAAACCGGTTTTGTAGAAATGTTGAGATTCAAAAACCGGTAGCAGCATAAGTTTGATATTAAGTAAAATTTAATGATCAAATCTTAAAAAAAATAATAAAGAAACATTTAAAACTTTAATCAAACTGTAATGGATTTTTGAGATATTACAAATTGTTTTGTTTAGACTTTGAATAAAGATTAACGTCTAAATCTCAACTGAAAGATAAAGTTAAAAATAAACATTATATAAGTTTAAACTACATATAAAATGTGTCATAAAATTGAACAAGGGATCCGTTTATCTATAAATGCATGATACTTATAATTTGTAACGTAAATGATTAAAGTTTTTATTAAATAAATATCGAGGATGCGTTCAAAAAGCTATCATTCATTATCCTAAAATCAATATTTTTTTATAATTTGTAAAAGATAATTTGAGACATCCACGAGTTTCAAAATGATGGAAATCAAACAATTACTTTCTGCGAATAATGATTGAAATGATATTTTATGGGATTATGCATTGTTTGTTTTTACAATAATTTTTATTTGTCATCGAATTTAACGATAATTACAGTTTTCGTGTGCAAGGATTTCATAGAAAATTCCGTATTCTCATTACCAGGATGATGAACAGTTGGGAAAATCAAATTAAAAATCAATTTAGGTTCTCTGTTACTTGATTCGAGCATTCGAACAACATTACTTAAATCCGTTACTTCTCTATTAGGATAATCCTGCAATGATGATAGTCTCTTTTTACGTAATAATTGCGGATGTTTTCAGTTGTCTGCAATCTATATGAATTGTATGTTTGTTTTTGTAAAGTATATGTATTTATTTAAAGAAGTATGCAATGAGGAAATGTTTACGGAAAATAAAAGTGTATGTAATGCGATGAGTCTAGTTACGAAAGCGTAACATTTAAATAGCAAACAGCCTAAAATTGGTGCTTCTCTAGTTTACGAAATAATTAGCAATTATCACAAATTGGAAAGAGTGGTTCAGTGAAGAGAAATAAAAGTGCATTGATTTATTTAATAACTGGGTTTCAAATAAGAACGCAAATAATTGCTGCTAATTAAACGGAGCGTTGCACGAGCGTTTCTAAATGTATTTATAAAAAAAAAAAAACGTTAATACCTCGAAGTTGCGTCGTATGTTGTTCCAAAGTTGGCGAGGAAAGTCAAGACGACTTAAGTTAAGTAAAATAGTTGTATGCCACATTTAGCACAGTTACTGAAAAAAAAATCTAGATTTTCTATCATAATTTCTCTATTGTATTTTATAGAATATTTGTTTGAGAAAGTCCATTCAAATCCTTTAAATCAATTCGTAGAGCTGTAATCAAATTTTAATGCTATGTTTCATGGACTTTGTAGGAAAACGTAGTTTATTATTTTCCTGAATATTAGAATATACTAAGTATGTATTGTGATATATTTAAAATTCTATTTTCAATTCATGATAAAATAATTTTGTTCATTTAATTTCAAGGTTATTAATTTTATTGCATATGTTTTTATGTTTAATTAGTATTTTTTATTGTGTCTATTTCAAGCAATAATAGCTAAATAAACAACCATAAAATTAAATAAATAATTAAAAACAAAATTGTGAAAATTAAAAAATTAATCAATATAAAAGGGTTTATGAAATTTACTTTAAAAACCAAACATATTTTCTACGATAATTATTATTAAGAGCTACAATGTTTGTTTCTGTTAATTTTTTTCTATTGGTTGAATCATGCTATTGAAATTTACATTAATGGAGAGGTCTGTTTGACAGTATCTGATATCAGTATCTTGATATAGACTTTTGCACAGTAAACTTTAACAATAAGAAATAATCTAAAATACAATTAGATTATTAATTGTTGTTATTTATCCAAGAGATTCGACTGGGACGAATAATAAACAAAACCACACAATTTCGTGAAAACGCTTAATCATCATTATAAACAAAGAACTTACTCATGTTAGTTATGCAATTGTCGAGAATCGAACCAGTTTTCCTATTTTCTTAAATTTTTGTTTCAATGAAGCTCTTATGAAAATCTTATAAATTTGGTACAATGCAAAAATTTTGGCAACGATAACTCCTTGGACCAAAAAAAAATGTTTAATAAATGGGAAAATTAAATTTCTATAAAAAAAATAATAATTTTGTATGTACTTTTTGTTGTAATTACTTTTATGTTGGATATTTCAATTAATTAACATAGTTTTTCTTTATAATATATCATTACATCACCTTAAAATTGCCTACGTGGATTAAGTTAATCAGGATCATATTCACTTACAGGAATATTTAAAATAATATTTCATATCGATTTTCATATCTTGTTATGAATTTTCCACCGTAAAACCATCATCTTCTACATTTAATTAACTTCGTTCATACTTTGAAACACACTTTTGAAACTTGTTCATTGAGACATTTACATAATTTGATGATACACGTTTATTTGTTATTTAAAATTTTCGTTACGTAAATAATTTTCATTATTGCAAACAATTACAAGTTGATTTTAAAGCAGAATCATTAAACATTAAAATAAAAAAAAAATCACACACTATAAAACGGGTAATTATTATTTTTGACACTCCCAACTTGTGTAGTTTATAGTTTTGAATTTTTTCTAAAAAAAAATAATACGTAAAATTGGAACTGGCAATGATATAATATGCTGTATATTTTCATAATTATGAACAACAACGAGATTACGCAATGCATTCTATTTTTATCACCATCCATCGATTCCCATTTGCAATTGAAGTCAAGGGCTTTCGCCGGAACACCAACGAACCAAAAATAATTACAGCAACTGTAGTCACAGCAACATGCAAAAAAAAACAAACGAACAAACAAAGCAGACAACATCATCATTGAATATGTGTCATATGTAATACATTCGAATTACAAAAGTGCCGTCATTTCCTCTGATTGTGCAACGCTACATATTTCTATTTTTCTAATTCTGTTTCATCCATCGTTCGTGTTGTAGAAACACATATTTACATTAGTGATTATACAAAAAACGACTTTAAAAAAAAAACCGTTTTTCGAATCTCAACTTTTCCACAATTTCGAATTTTCACAAAAAAAAAATATTTTCTATTCAAAATTTCTAGAAATATAAAAAAACCCTCATGCGTCTTTAGACCATTAAATAATGAACTACATTTTTTAAAACTAAAAGTTCCTTTTTTGGTAGGTTGGGGTAGGACAAAGACACATCTTCAGGTTATTGAAGATATTTATGAATTGATTCAATCGTCTCACTTTTTGAAGCTACTGAAAGATATAAGCTAGACGTCTTTGTACGAACGTTCTATGGATTTCGTAAATTAACTAAAAATCTTACTGGACTAAAACTTTGGAACTAAATTCGGATTTCATTTCTTTCAATTCAGAGACAATTTTGTGTCATTTTTATGTTTTAATAATTAAAATAATTCCTTAATTTTTATATTTTAAGTCTAGGATCAAATATTTGTTGAAAAATATTACATAAATAAATGAAAAATAATCATATTTCATAAAATTCGCTCTTGTTTTTGTTATCAGTGAAAGCACGTAGAATAATGATTGATTTTAATTTATAGCCTTGCCTTCACGTTAGAACTGCGGTGATAAAATATAATCTGAGATAATATTTTATCTAAATCAAACGAGATTAACGTTTTATCATTTAGTGCGAATACTCAATTTTTTATAGCATTCCATTAGGACAATTTGTTTCTTTACTAATTGGAATCGCTTCTGTTGATTGTTATAATGAATTGCATACTAATTGAAACAACCTAAATTGAATAGCTATAAGTGTAATATGTAATTAATATGTTGATCAACTAAAGGAAGTAATTAAATTCATATTTATTTATAATGTGTCTTCCGTTTGTAAACTAATCAATATACAAGAATGAATGCAATTAAATGATATATAACAAATATATGGGCTAATATATTGTCGTGTCCCTGGATTAAGAAATCTCTGGACACTGTGGATTATGCAATATTCTTAATTAGTTTTCGGAGATTTTATTGAAAAGTCAACTATATAATAGTTGATCTCATGGATTATTACTAAGAGTTACATACTCCTTTTAAGTTAGTAATTAGGAAGACTGTGCTCTTCCTTCGGCCCTTCAACTGAGACTTGGTCTCAGTTCGATCCTCTAGCTAAGACTAACTTCTCAGTTTGGCCCCTTAACTAAGAATAAATTATGTAATACAAAAATGTATTCATTTCAAAAAGGGGCCCAAATATTTAGGGGCTGAAGAAGGCTCTTAAATGGTGATTCAATAAACGCAAATATACGATTTAATGTGTAACCGTTCTTCGGAATATTCCACAAGTTATTCTAAATAATCACGTAGAAGTATCCGTTTGTATATTTGATGGACACGTTAAATATGATTTGTAATAATTAAGAGGAAAGTGGTATACCTAACAAATATACATATTGATCGGCCAAGACAATATTAAAAATTATTATTGCAGAAATATTATCCGGCCACGAGACTTCCATTTTCCTTAAAGATAAGATAATCCTTGACTGCACATACATATTTAAATATGGAAATTATGGCTATTTTTAACATTATTACTTTTGTATACGAATTGAAGTACATTTATTTTTTAAAATATGTTGCCAAAATTTTTGAAATTTCTTTTTCATTAATAATTACAATACCTCTCATAGTCCGATTCCGCTAATATTCTGAAATCGGACTAATCAAGTAACTAAATACAGTGGAACCTTGCTTAACGAGCACCTCGCATAATGTGCAATTCGCTTAACGAGCAAAATTAATTGTAAGCAAAATGACTCGAGCGATGTTTCGCATAACGAGTGACGATGAGAAGAGAAGTCCCGGATTGCGCGCCTGTTACATCATTTTTATAACTAAATATTATGTGTATTTTTGAATATGTTTCACTATACGAGTAAAATTCCGGAAGTATTGGAACGGATTAAACTCGTTAAGCGAGGTTTCACTGTATCTACAAAACATAAACGCACAATAAAAGAATAAATTTGTGTACCAATTTTTTAGAAATGTATGTGTTTTTTGAAATTTTCATAGCGACTCCGTACATATTGAAGTGTCCGGCATTTATTCCTCTTTTACATTTAAATTTTATTGTAAACTCAAACATTTCAAATAGATATTTTGAAATTTTTTATCATAATATTGTCTCACATATTCCATAAAAAAAATAATAGTAAATATTATCTACAGTTAAGCCCTGATTATATTCATTTATTTTGTTTCGTAAATTTTGTATTCATTATAGAAACATTGCATTAAAATTGGATATGGATATTGATTGGACAAATGGATTTATATTATGTTTGGCAAAAAATGTATAGAAAGAGCTCGTTTAGAGATGCCTCGATTAACGCTGATTTGCTATAACGCGGAAACATAAAAATTTATCCGGGTTTAAATTACCGCGGCATTTCATTGATTCATATGTAATACAATTATTTCCGAAGACGTAGCTTAATGAATTGGCAGAACAAGTATTTGAAGAACGCGAGAAAATAGTGATTCTGAAGACGATGAACCAAAAGAAATTGCTACAGATTTTCTTAGAAAAAGTTTAGAAACGATAACCGAAATCGTTGATCAAATTGTAACGAATGATTCAAATTTTTACAGGAGTGCAAAAGGAAGAAGAGGAGTTTTGGGTGCGATCGCATGCAACTAACATTTGCTTAATAAAAGAAAAAGCGACTCTAGACTATTTTATCGTCAAAAAATCAAAAATATCAGAAAAGCCAGGACGTTCATCACCAAAAATAATCTTAATATTTCTGTGTGGAAATGTTTATGTTATGTAATTTCCCTATTTGCCATTTGTTAAAATGACATCATGTGACGTTGTTTCGTTTAGTGCTGTCTTCAGGAACACATCTAAAGCGCTAAACAAGGTCTTACTGTACATTTATATTACAGCTTAAGAATTTATCAATATATATTTTGATGTTTATTGGTCACTTTTTTTTATTAAAGAATTCATTGTTTGTTGATTATAAATGTATATAAATAAAAATGTAGATTTCATAACTTGTTTTTGTATAAATTAATATGTTGTTGTTATGAAAAATAATTACATGATATGTGTTCATTCATTAATTTCAATTTAAAAAATGCATACATTAATGAGTTGTTTTTTAAACAAAAAAGCATAAAATATTGAAATAAAATCGTTCTTTTCACATATGTTGTCCAGAAAATTCTAATGATTTGTGTCAGTTTAGTATCCTTTCAGAGATGGAAGAAAACAAAGTGCATTTTAGTCTTAGATAGTTTTCTATTACTGAGAAGCTAAAAATGCCAATATCTGTAAATATTCTGTTTGCGGAAGATTTGTTTTAGCTGAAAGAACTTTGTGGAATGTTGCTAATAATAATGATGAAATAAATACATTGATCGAGAATAACTCGTACTACACGATACGTGAATTAATAGATGTGAATGGAGTACATTGTGGGATAATGTATACATTTTGTATATAATATATAGATTTGCTTACAACAGACGTAAAATAATGAATTATAAATTATATTATTTGATAAAAAAAAAACCGCTTCGGAGATATTACTTATTCATATGCTATAATATGAGAAAAGAGAAAATATGGATATTCTACAAAAAAGGTTTTGAATTTTAATAAAAAATCTATAGGAATATTCCAGGCAATAAAATATTAGTTTTGCGTACTAAATATATTTTGCTCAATTAAAATTTGTTTTTTGTTTCGAAACACCGCACTATACGAGGTATTTGATAATCATTTTCACTTACAAGTTAAGTTTTCTACTACTTTTTGCTTATCGATATGATAATTTTTTTTAATAGAAAATTATGATTGGATCTTAAATTATTTTAATACTTTGCAAAAATATTATTTCGTAATCTTTCGTTACTTTTTTTAAACACATTATCTTTTTGATATAAACTTCTGAGAGAACGTATTATCCAATATTTGTGTTAATAGATAAACTTATATTTATTTAAGATTGTCGTTAGTAATCTGAGATTATACTTAAATCATCAAAAATACTATTACAACTTTAATTAATCATATATTAAACGAACATTGAAACGCAATAATAATTGTTCATTTTCAAATGATTGTTCTTAAATATGTAACTTTTGAAGTGATTACTAGAATCGTTTAATACTGAATAATTTGAGATTCTTCCGAACATTGTTGTAGACCAGGGTCGGCAAAATATTTTATGTCACTACAAAATTCCGCTTTTTGATGTATAAAATATACGAAATTTTCTGCAATATTATTTTCTTTGCTTAATTTTTCAAGTTCTACTTGATAAAAGATAATGTCAGCCATATTAATTTACTATTGAATTAACCAGAGAAAGTTAAATATAGAAGTTAATTGCGATTTAAGTTTAAAACTTAGTAATTTGAATCCAATTTTAACAATTCACCAATCATGCCCATCACATTGATAATACCAGTCAAATTTACTAACTTACTCAAAGTTTTATTATAATGCTGAATTATAACAAATTTGTTGACAAGTAAGGAATAACTATTGGATTAAGTGATAAAGCTAATGATCAGTTCTAAATCGAGATTATATTTTTTTTTAATAATTACTATTGACTACAAATAATTTTAATAGAAATTTATTGCACAGAAAGACATTTGGTCCATAGCCCTTTGTAGCAGTTGAATTTTATTTTATTGAGTTCATTTTTTTAAATTTTGTATTTTATTGTTGCAATATAACATTTTCTTTTGTTATTTTAGGTTATGAACCAGCTAAGGGATTATGGGGCATAAAGCACACTCGAGCTCCGGTGAACAAGATGGTAGAAAGAGCCAAGAATCTACCGGCAAACACAATTTTGCCCCAAGTCACAGTGAAGGTAACATTGGAAGGATTAAGCTTCAAAACCAATGTGAGCAAAGAATGCATCGAGGAAACCAGGAACTTCAACGTGGACACCATCTCGTACGGTGTTCAGGATTTAGTCTACACTCGAGTGTTCTGCATAATCGTCGTCAAAGAGGGTGACTTGAATGAAGGATTGCCATTCGTGTGTCACGCATTCGCGTGCGAATCGAAAAGCCAAGCCAGATCATTGACGTACTCTCTGGCCGCGGCCTTCCAGAGTTACGGCCTGAAAGTCAAAGCCAGCAACGGGAAACTTATCCAGAAGAAGTTCGCCATCGATTTGCGGACTCCGCAAGAAATACAGAAGGATGAGGTCGCTGAAACCGATGCCTAAAGAAAAAGCGTACGCACCTTAAATAATCGTTGAAATTTGTGATATCTTAAAGTATTTATTTCTTGCCTTGATCGTTAAAAAAAAAGATTAACATATTGCCTTTTATAGTTCTAAGTTCTAATCCTATCCATTCCAAAGTAATATATTATTTTACATAACTATGTACCTATATATATATTTATATTTTTTAACATTGAGTAGTCTTCTTGCAAAACAATATACAAAACAAATAGTCAAAGAAATAGTAAAATAGCTACGCATGTTATCTATTACATAAAAAAAGTTATCTACATTCACATGTTATTTACTATAAATCCTTATTTAGTGATTATATATAAATTATTATGTAACTTTTGTGCACAATATTATTAATATGTAATGATATTTCAGTAATAAATCATTTAAATGAAAAGTCTTCATTATACAATTGTTATATTGTATTATAGTTAATGAATAACTGTTTTGATACAACATTCCTGATTTTATTGAGATATATTTGAAATATAAGAATATTTAGTCAGTATCATGAATCAGTAAACATTCAATTCATTTAAAGTCTAAAGATTCCTGTGTTTCCTGCGAAATGTCCCTCAAAATTATGTTTTGCCCTGGGTCTCTCTCGCACTTGCTAGGGACGGTGAAATGCTAGCGAACAAGTGAAATAATGTAGCAATCTTGTTTTATAATTTACAAAAAAAAAATCAACTTAAAATAATCCTAATGTCAACGTAACTAAATTTAATACTAAATAATCAACTATAAAACTAATATTTTCATGTTTAAATATTATAAAAAGTATATATTATTTCAATATATTCAACTGATACAAAGGGCTATTGACCATAGGTCTCTCTGCCCTATTTTGTCTATAAAAGAATATAAACGCATTTACAATGTATATATTTTGGAGAATACTCAAAATATGAAGAGTAAAATAAGTATTCAGAAAATTGAAAAGGATGAGTTATATTCATAGTTGTAGCATGATCAGTCGCATTATAAGAAAATCTATTGGCTTGAGACACTTAGGATTAGGTCTTAATGGAGCTAAAGTGAACGCAAATTCACATTAGACCACCAATTATGGAGCTGAGAGGAATGGGAAGTAAACAATGCGTAAATGAAACTGTACACTGTATGACTGTGAAGATATTGTTTTTCAAAATTGTGTTAGTTCGACATAGGCTAAGTGTGTCACGAGAGACGAAAGTCTCCAAGAAGAAAAATCTTGTTAAAGTTTTTAACTTTACTAATACATAGCTAAGCGAAATTGTATCAGTACGACTCATGGATTCGACCCATAGAATTTTATGTTATAGTATAATATCTTCTGTTAATTCAATATAGCTTTAGTTATGAAGGAGAAAAAAATATACTACTTATCTCTATATATGTTATGAAAGTGAAAATATGACGTATATTTTATCTTTTATAATTATGATAAGAGAAGAGCAGAAGTTCCCAAACTTGTTTGTGTCGTAGACCCCTTGCCATGTTTTTCGGTTTTGGGTAGACCCCCTACTTACCTGATATTGATTTTTTTGTAAATTTCTAATGTAGTGAAGTTTAGTGTTAAAAACTTAAAGTAAAAACACATGTTAAGTTTTATACATAAATTAAAACTACTCAAAATAAAATTTTGTATCTGTTATATAAAATATAGGTAACATAAAATAAACTAAGCAATAAGTAAATGTTTTTAGTGAGAAGGATGAACCTGATGCTTTAATAAAAAAATATCAACATTTGGCGTCAATTTTGTAAGGTTTAATCTTAAATCTCCTCGTCTAATGATGTCCAGTCTGTTTCTTTTTTTCGTTAGGAGATTGGTAACAGCTTTCCACTAGGTGACGATGGAAAGGAAATTAAAAATTTCCTCGCTATATTCCATAATACGGGATAAGTAACGGAACGGGTATGTTGTTTTGCAGCCAGAATTGCTGATATCCGTTTTTAAACTGAACCTTAAGTTCTTCGTTTGTACTTAGTTCAGTCAGTTCCTCTTGTATTATGACATTCGTTTCTTCTATGTCACCATATGGGTTAATTATCCACGGTGTATTACCATAGTCAAAACGTTCTC